GGAGGGTGGAGGGCCAGGTAGAGGGAGAGGGGTGTAGAGGGCCAGAAGCACCGCCTCTTCAGTGTCGCATCTCATCACTGGTCACAGCCAGAGTCAACTTGACACACCTAACAATTCCCCCTCCCTGTCTCCCCTCCCTGTCTCCCCTCCCTCTCTCCCCTCCCTCTCTCCTCTCCCTCTCTCTCCCCTCCCTCTCTCTCCCCTCCCTCTCTACCCTCCCTCTCTCTCCTCCCTCTCTTCCCTTCCTCTCTCCCCTCCCTCTATCCCCTCCCTCTCTACCCTCCCTCTCTTTCCTTCCCCTTTTTCTCTTAAATCTCACATTATCTTCCATTTTCCTCGCCCCTCATTCTTCTGCAACCTCTCATACTCCACCCCTCATTCCTCTCCCTCGTATCTCCCTCATTCTCCTCTCTCATCCCACTTCCTGCCCTTTTCTCATGCCCAACCGTAATTCCCTTCCCTAATTACCCAAAGCTTAGAACAGAGGCTTAGGGCCCGCCCAGTGGGCCAGCCAGAGGCTTAGGGCCCGCCCAGTGGGCCACCCCACCCTCATATCACCCCCCCCCCCACTCACCCACCCCCCTCCCTGGCGAAGGTCTCTTCTGGAAAGTTACAATTTATAAGGTGGTAAATACTAAACGACGCCCAGGTGGGCGGGGTTATAGTGGGCGTATAAAGTGGGGGTTGTGGGCGTGGGGGGGGTTGTGGGCGTGGGGGGAGGTTGTGGGCGTGGGGGGGGGGGGGGTTGTGGGCGTGGCAGGGGTTAGTTGTGGGCGTGGTGGGGGTGATGGAGAGATAAGGGTGATGTAGAATTGAGGCAGTGTCCGGGGCGAGGCAGTGTCCGGGGCGAGGCAGTGTCCGGGGCGAGGCAGTGACCGGGGCGAGGCAGTGACCGGGGCGAGGCAGTGTCCGGGCGAGGCAGTGACCGGGGCGAGGCAGTGACCGGGGCGAGGCAGTGTCCGGGGCGAGGCAGTGTCCGGGGCGAGGCAGTGACCGGGGCGAGGCAGTGTCCGGGGCGAGGCAGTGTCCGGGGCGAGGCAGTGACCGGGGCGAGGCAGTGACCGGGGCGAGGCAGTGACCGGGGCGAGGCAGTGACCGGGGCGAGGCAGTGACCGGGGCGAGGCAGTGTCCGGGGCGAGGCAGTAACCGGGGCGAGGCAGTGTCCGGGGCGAGGCGGTGCTGCTAGGCAGGTCACTCCGGCCAGGCGCGAAGACATTTTGGCTGACAAAGTGGCCAGGAACTGGCTACGTGATTCCCTCCTGTGTCCGTGTCTCTGTACGTGTCTGCGTCCGTGTCTGTACGTGTCTGTGTACGTGTCTCTGTAAGTGTCTGTGTCTCTGTACGTGTCTGTGTCCGTGTCTGCGTCCGTGTCTGTACGTGTCTCTGTAAGTGTCTGTGTCTCTGTACGTGTCTGTGTACGTGTCTGTACGTGTCTCTGTAAGTCTCTCTGTCCGTGGCTGTACTTGCCTAATGGTGCGTGCGGAGGTTGGGCTTCAGCTCTTTGGCCCCGCCTCTCAACTGTCCATTAACTGGTTAGTAACTGAGTACATCACTGCCTAATGCATTTACTAATTACTCTGACACTGAAAAAGTTTTTTCTAATGTCTCTGTGGCTCATTTGGGTACTTAGCTTCCACCTGTGTTCCCTTGTTCGTATACCACACGTCTTAGTGTCTTTACCTTATTAATTCTGCTCAGAATTTTGTATATGGTAAACATGTCTCCACTAGTCTTTCAGTGACGTTAGGTTCAATTCGTGTAGCTTTTCCTCACAACTTTGTACTGGGCCATGGTGGCCACCAGGGCCATGGTGGCCACCAGGGCCATGGTGGCCACCAGGGCCATGGTGGCCACCAGGGACATGGTGGCCACCAGGGCCATGGTGGCCACCAGGGCCATGGTGGCCACCAGGGTCATGGTAGCCACCAGGGCCATAATAAGGACAGACATGAATAAAAATGTATCGATTGGAAGACCAACCTGGGAATGACCAACACGGCATCTCCCTCTTTGCCCTACGGGCTCACCATAGCCCGTGCTACTTGGAACTTGTTCCGAGTAGCTGAATCTATAACAACAACAACTCTTTACCCTTCTCCCTCCCTCCGTTCCTCCATTCCCACCTTCCCTTCCACCTCCTTCCCCCTTCCACCTCCCTTCCTTTCACCTCATTCCCTCTCTTCCTTCGCTCGCTAGGAAAGGTCCTTACACCCAATGTTATCTTGAGGTTATCTTGAGATGATTTCGGGGCTTTAGTGTCCCCGCGGCCCGGTCCTCGACCAGGCCTCCACCCCCAGGAAGCAGCCCGTGACAGCTGACTAACACCCAGGTACCTATTTACTGCTAGGTAACAGGGGCATAGGGTGAAAGAAACTCTGCCCATTGTTTCTCGCCGGCGCCCGGGATCGACCCCGGGACCACAGGATCACAAGTCCAGCGTGCTGTCCGCTCGGCCGACCAGCATCACCGTGCAAGAGAGAGAAGGCCGCAAGTCAACAAA